GTCTTGTTGCTTGCCGGTGTTTTGGTATGTTGTCATGTTGTTTTCATGTGTTTTTGTATATTGTCTTGTTGCTTGCAGGTGTTTTGTTATGTTGTCATGTTGTTTTCATGTGTTTTTGTATATTGTCTTGTTGCTTGCAGGTGTTTTGGTATGTTGTCATGTTGTTTTCATGTGTTTTTGTATATTGTCTTGTTGCTTGCAGGTGTTTTGGTATGTTGTCATGTTGTTTTCAGGTGTTTTTGTATATTGTCTTGTTGCTTGCAGGTGTTTTGTTATGCTGTCATGTTGCTTGCAGGTGTTTGGTTATGTTGTCATGTTGCTTGCATGTGTTTTGGTATGTTGTCATGTTGTTTTCAGGTGTTTTTGTATATTGTCTTGTTGCTTGCATGTGTTTTGGTATGCTGTCATGTTGTTTTAAGGTGTTTTTGTATATTGTCTTGTTGCTTGCATGTGTTTTGGTATGCTGTCATGTCGTTTTCAGGTGCTTTTGTATATTGTCTTGTAGCTTGCAGGTGTTTTGGTATGCTGTCATGTTGTTTTCAGGTGTTTTTGTATATTGTCTTGTAGCTTGCAGGTGTTTTGGCATGCTGTCATGTTGTTCTCAGGTGTTTTTGTATATTGTCTTGTTGCTTGCATGTGTTTTGTTATGTTGTCATGTTGTTCTCAGGTGTTTTTGTATATTGTCTTGTTGCTTGCATGTGTTTTGGTATGTTGTGATGTTGTTTTCAGGTGTTTTTGTATATTGTCTTGTTGCTTGCAGGTGTTTTGGTATGTTGTCATGTTGTTTTCAGGTGTTTTTGTATATTGTCTTGTTGCTTGCAGGTGTTTTGGTATGTTGTCATGTTGTTTTCAGGTGTTTTTGTATATTGTCTTGTTGTTTTCAGGTGTTTTGGTGTGCTGTCATGTTGTTTTCAGGTGTTTTTGTATATTGTCTTGTTGCTTGCAGGTGTTTTGGTATGTTGTCATGTTGTTTTCAGGTGTTTTTGTATATTGTCTTGTTGCTTGCATGTGTTTTGTTATGTTGTCATGTTGTTTTCAGGTGTTTTTGTATATTGTCTTGTTGCTTGCAAGTGTTTTGGTGTGCTGTCATGTTGTTTTCAGGTGTTTTTGTATATTGTCTTGTTGCTTGCAAGTGTTTTGGTGTGCTGTCATGTTGTTTTCAGGTGTTTTTGTATATTGTCTTGTTGCTTGCATGTGTTTTGGTATGTTGTCATGTTGTTTTCAGGTGTTTTTGTATATTGTCTTGTTGCTTGCAAGTGTTTTGGTGTGCTGTCATGTTGTTTTCAGGTGTTTTTGTATATTGTCTTGTTGCTTGCAAGTGTTTTGGTGTGCTGTCATGTTGTTTTCAGGTGTTTTTGTATATTGTCTTGTTGCTTGCAAGTGTTTTGGTGTGCTGTCATGTTGTTTTCAGGTGTTTTTGTATATTGTCTTGTTGCTTGCAGGTGTTTTGGTATGTTGTCATGTTGTTTTCAGGTGTTTTTGTATATTGTCTTGTTGCTTGCATGTGTTTTGGTATGTTGTCATGTTGTTTTCAGGTGTTTTTGTATATTGTCTTGTTGCTTGCAAGTGTTTTGTTGCGTTGTCATGTTGTTTTCAGGTGTTTTTGTATATTGTCTTGTTGCTTGCAGGTGTTTTGGTATGTTGTCATGTTGTTTTCAGGTGTTTTTGTATATTGTCTTGTTGCTTGCAAGTGTTTTGGTGTGCTGTCATGTTGTTTTCAGGTGTTTTTGTATATTGTCTTGTTGCTTGCAAGTGTTTTGGTGTGCTGTCATGTTGTTTTCAGGTGTTTTTGTATATTGTCTTGTTGCTTGCATGTGTTTTGTTATGTTGTCATGTTGTTTTCAGGTGTTTTTGTATATTGTCTTGTTGCTTGCAGGTGTTTTGGTATGTTGTCATGTTGTTTTCAGGTGTTTTTGTATATTGTCTTGTTGCTTGCAGGTGTTTTGGTATGTTGTCATGTTGTTTTCAGGTGTTTTTGTATATTGTCTTGTTGCTTGCAGGTGTTTTGGTATGTTGTCATGTTGTTTTCAGGTGTTTTTGTATATTGTCTTGTTGCTTGCAGGTGTTTTGGTATGCTGTCATGTTGTTTTCAGGTGTTTTTCTGTATTGTCTTGTTGCTTGCAGGTGCTTTGTTGCGTTGTCATGTTGTTCTCAGGTGTTTTTGTATATTGTCTTGTTGCTTGCAAGTGTTTTGGTGTGCTGTCATGTTGTTTTCAGGTGTTTTGTATATTGTCTTGTTGCTTGCAGGTTTTTGGTTATGTTGTCATGTTGTTTTCAGGTGTTTTTGTATATTGTCTTGTTGCTTGCAGGTGTTTTGGTATGTTGTCATGTTGTTTTCAGGTGTTTTGTATATTGTCTTGTTGCTTGCAGGTGTTTTGGTATGTTGTCATGTTGTTTTCAGGTGTTTTTGTATATTGTCTTGTTGCTTGCAGGTGTTTTGGTATGTTGTCATGTTGTTTTCAGGTGTTTTTGTATATTGTCTTGTTGCTTGCAGGTGTTTTGGTATGCTGTCATGTTGTTTTCAGGTGTTTTTCTGTATTGTCTTGTTGCTTGCAGGTGCTTTGTTGCGTTGTCATGTTGTTCTCAGGTGTTTTTGTATATTGTCTTGTTGCTTGCAAGTGTTTTGGTGTGCTGTCATGTTGTTTTCAGGTGTTTTGTATATTGTCTTGTTGCTTGCAGGTGTTTGGTTATGTTGTCATGTTGTTTTCAGGTGTTTTTGTATATTGTCTTGTTGCTTGCAAGTGTTTTGGTGTGCTGTCATGTTGTTTTCAGGTGTTTTTGTATATTGTCTTGTTGCTTGCAGGTGTTTTGTTATGTTGTCATGTTGTTTTCAGGTGTTTTGTATATTGTCTTGTTGCTTGCAAGTGTTTTGGTATGCTGTCATGTTGTTTTCAGGTGTTTTGTATATTGTCTTGTTGCTTGCAAGTGTTTTGTTATGCTGTCATGTTGTTTTCAGGTGTTTTTGTATATTGTCTTGTTGCTTGCAAGTGTTTTGGTATGCTGTCATGTTGTTTTCAGGTGTTTTGTATATTGTCTTGTTGCTTGCAGGTGTTTGGTTATGTTGTCATGTTGTTTTCAGGTGTTTTTGTATATTGTCTTGTTGCTTGCAGGTGTTTTGTTATGTTGTCATGTTGTTTTCAGGTGTTTTGTATATTGTCTTGTTGCTTGCAGGTGTTTTGGTATGTTGTCATGTTGTTTTCAGATGTTTTTGTATATTGTCTTGTTGCTTGCAGGTGTTTTTGGTATGTTGTCATGTTGTTTTCAGGTGTTTTTGTATATTGTCTTGTTGCTTGCAAGTGTTTTGGTATGCTGTCATGTTGTTTTCAGGTGTTTTTCTGTATTGTCTTGTTGCTTGCAGGTGCTTTGTTGCGTTGTCATGTTGTTCTCAGGTGTTTTTGTATATTGTCTTGTTGCTTGCAAGTGTTTTGGTGTACTGTCATGTTGTTTTCAGGTGTTTTGTATATTGTCTTGTTGCTTGCAAGTGTTTGGTTATGTTGTCATGTTGTTTTCAGGTGTTTTTGTATATTGTCTTGTTGCTTGCAGGTGTTTGGTTATGTTGTCATGTTGTTTTCAGGTGTTTTTGTATATTGTCTTGTTGCTTGCAAGTGTTTTGGTGTGCTGTCATGTTGTTTTCATGTGTTTTTGTATATTGTCTCGTTCCTTGCAGGTGTTTTGTTATGTTGTCATGTTGTTTTCAGGTGTTTTGTATATTGTCTTGTTGCTTGCAAGTGTTTTGGTATGCTGTCATGTTGTTTTCAGGTGTTTTGTATATTGTCTTGTTGCTTGCAAGTGTTTTGTTATGCTGTCATGTTGTTTTCAGGTGTTTTTGTATATTGTCTTGTTGCTTGCAAGTGTTTTGGTATGCTGTCATGTTGTTTTCAGGTGTTTTGTATATTGTCTTGTTGCTTGCATGTGTTTGGTTATGTTGTCATGTTGTTTTCAGGTGTTTTTGTATATTGTCTTGTTGCTTGCAGGTGTTTTGTTATGTTGTCATGTTGTTTTCAGGTGTTTTGTATATTGTCTTGTTGCTTGCAGGTGTTTTGGTATGTTGTCATGTTGTTTTCAGATGTTTTTGTATATTGTCTTGTTGCTTGCAGGTGTTTTTGGTATGTTGTCATGTTGTTTTCAGGTGTTTTTGTATATTGTCTTGTTGCTTGCAAGTGTTTTGGTATGCTGTCATGTTGTTTTCAGGTGTTTTTCTGTATTGTCTTGTTGCTTGCAGGTGCTTTGTTGCGTTGTCATGTTGTTCTCAGGTGTTTTTGTATATTGTCTTGTTGCTTGCAAGTGTTTTGGTGTGCTGTCATGTTGTTTTCAGGTGTTTTGTATATTGTCTTGTTGCTTGCAAGTGTTTGGTTATGTTGTCATGTTGTTTTCAGGTGTTTTTGTATATTGTCTTGTTGCTTGCAGGTGTTTTGTTATGTTGTCATGTTGTTTTCAGGTGTTTTGTATATTGTCTTGTTGCTTGCAAGTGTTTTGTTATGCTGTCATGTTGTTTTCAGGTGTTTTTGTATATTGTCTTGTTGCTTGCAAGTGTTTTGGTGTGCTGTCATGTTGTTTTCAGGTGTTTTTGTATATTGTCTTGTTGCTTGCATGTGTTTTGTTGCGTTGTCATGTTGTTTTCAGGTGTTTTTGTATATTGTCTTGTTGCTTGCAAGTGTTTTGTTGCGTTGTCATGTTGTTTTCAGGTGTTTGGGTATGTTGTTATGTTGCTTGCAGGTGTTTTGTTCTCGGGTTCGATTCCCGACATGGGTACAATGTGTGAAGCCCATTTATGGTGTCCCCTCGCCGTGATATTGCTGGAATACAATGTATTTCTAAAAGCGGCGTAAAACCATACTTACTCAATATTTATTATATATATTATATTATATATACAGCAGTATCAATATATCTGCCAATGAACATTGAATAACAACTCTGTTATCACCACAACGTGATTATCATTCTAAGAAATGCGATCGTGGGCTGGCACACTATCTACAACACGACACACTGACAGATGCTCCTGACTCCTGTGATTGAAGTGATCACGACTGTTATCAGTTATCCTAAACAGAGCATCACGCTGGTCACATGTCCAGCTCGCGCACTGTGGGAAACTTACCTATGTATTCCGTAAGTAAACGAAACCTTTTACAGCATTAGAGAATACACACTTCGGGCTTTCCTCCCACATTAAGCTGACACGCCGCGATATAACTGGAATACTGTTAAAAGCGGCGTTAAACCCAACTCACTCACTGTACTCGAAATCATAGTAGAAAACACATTGTGTCTCTTATCTATTAATAAATAATTGTAGAAATCGATCTTATGTGTGAAATGTACAATTTAGTGTTATTTTCTTTGGAATCCCTCGCCTATTTATAAAATATATTTATGTGATTTTCGGATTATAAACAGGTTTCTATATTCTACTATTTGAAAGAAGGAAGGAACATCTAATCAACATTTACAAATAGTCTCCTGTATCCACACGTGTGAGAAAATATGCGAGGATCATTATTCTTCATTAACTGTTTAATAGAATGTCTTTTTATGAATGGTGATTTAAGCAGGACCCGGTCGGGACTCGGAGAAAGTAGCTTATCATAAATTATCAGTGGCTTGTGGCCTATCTAACGAACAGAAACGAGTGCAGGTCATATCTTCTGATTTAGATATGACAATATCAAGTATTGGTCTGTCTGTCGCCCTTTCGGATCTCTATTCTCTAGTTTTACAAGTTATTTGTCCTTACAGGTTTTGTGTTAAAACATGCAAACAAATAAATCATGCATGTATTCTAACTGGTGTGTACTTATATTCAGTATGATTTAAGCAAAGGGCTTAATGAATATGCATGGTTCACCAAGTATTTCTGTGTCATGTACGTAGACTAACGTAGGGAGTATGCCTGTTTATCTACCACCCATCCCTCGGCAGGTGTGTTATGTACGAAGACTAACGTAGGGAGTATGCCTGTTTATCTACCACCCATCCCTCGGCAGGGTACATTTTACATTTTATTTGTGTATCTTGAAGTGGTGCTTATGGAGCAGTTGGTGTGAAATATATCCCCAACAGTATTACATCTTACGAATCACTATCTCTCCACCCCGAAAAGCTACCTGGCTTCACGGTGACAGTGCTGTTTACAAATGACATGAACCCGGGGAACAATCCCTGTCTGTAGTTATGGCCAACATGTCAACAATGAAAATGCCATTGTTAAGTATGGGGCGGTCGGGTAGCCTAGTAAAACAAATGATTGTGGGTTCGAATCCCGGTTCGCCCCGATTATGTTTCTAGGTTTGTCAGCACCATACCCGTGCTCGTGGGTTTCACCGAAGTGGTAAACGTCTGAGACCTGCATCACTTTGGGCTTTCCTCCCACATTAAGCTGACACGCCGTGATATAACTGGAATACGGTTAAAGGCGGCGTTAAACCCAACTCACCCACTCACTATTATTTGGAGTTTGAGCATCTGCTGAGGTTCAACTGAGACTTTGCTATGTTTATCTATTTTTTACATCAATCTTGTTGCATGGTACAGACACTAAATTACTGTAAGTGCCCTTACTAAAACGAATGGTTATTTTTGTGTGTTTCAGACAGTCGTCAAAGGCCCTGTCGCCTACTTGGCTTGGGTAACAACTTCATATTTGTGTCACCTCTCAACGAAATGTTTCTTGACAACCTCACAAAGACATTTTCCCTGGATCCCCGGCCTTGTCTGGGCGTGTCTTGCTGCATCATCACAGATGGGTCTCTGTCTCCTGATGATGAAACAGGCTGTCCAAAACAACGCCCCTACCAGCGGTGTAAGGCGCCACCTGCCGGCACTCGGCCACCTCGTCGGGACACTCTGTAGTAACTGTAGCATGACATTCTTAGAGGCTTCCTCAACCATTGCCATCAGACTCATGGAACCTATCACAACTGCCCTTTTAGATGCATTGGTATACAGAACATCACTTCCAGTGTCGGTGCAAACCAGCCTACCATTGGTCGTGATTGGGTGTATCATTTTCTCTGGTCAGTCCTTTAAAAACATCGATCACCTGTCGGGGATAATATTTGCACTTATGTCAAATTTAGGTTTTGGTTTGAGGAACATTGCCATAAAAAATAAAGGCGAATGTGAAATTAAAGTGCGTTCACGCAACGCACTGATCTTCAGTTTCTTAGCATGGACGTCAGTGGCCATTTTGGATATTCATAAACTCGGACCTGGTATGCATGTTGTGTTCCTTCTTTCGTCATCAACAGAGTTTCACGTGTTGTACTCGTCCCTGTCGACGTGTGTGGTGCTTAAGGAGGTGTCAGTTATCACACATGCCGTCCTTAACAATCTGAAGCGGCTCCTCGTGGTGATGTTTCTAGTGTTGGCTGGATCGAGGTCCCTGTCGCTCTCAAACCTTGGAGGACTTACTTTAGCAGTTTTGGGCCTTGGAATATATACTATGGGGAAGGATACCTCAACAGGTTTAAGAGTTGAAACAGGTAAGACATTGTGAGAACACACCAGTCATGGAAGATCATATTTGCCAGTGTACTATAGTTAATTATGCCTCAAAGTGAGATTGACCAATCAGAGAGCAGAACTACTAACCCCATATGAGCCCGTATACCGTCAATAAAAATCCAAGATGGCTGTTACTGTCTTCATATGACACCGTGTACCGTCAGTGACAGCCATCTTGGATTTTCCAACACCCACCTCACATATATGACATGAAACGTCTGGTACCGAAATTCATAATTCGGTACTGTTTTGTGTTTTAATATCATTAATTTGATGTGCAAGGACATTAATATGTTTTTAGATCACGTTCGTGACTTTATTGATAATGATTATAGTTACAATTGTCAACAAGGTTTGGCCTCTAAGGTCTGAAGAGTAGTCTCCCCTTGACCCTTAACGTCAACGGTTGTAATGAAAGTGTCACGTTTTCGTTTTGACAAGACCTGTACGATATGGATTATCAGATAGTGTAAACTTTTCGTGTCTTTAGTTGACGCCTCGCCCAATACTTCTGCGAACCTAATATGACACCGTATACGGCAACTAAAGACACCATAACTAATAATATAGCTCCGATAGAGAATACCGTCCCGGGTCATTATGCCTTGTATTGGAAATGGACCCCTAATGCTAACAAAAAAAACATTAAACAATCCTCGTGCAGGATTCTATCTTGTAAAGGAAACGATTAAGTACCAGAGAAAGGTCAGCGTCTGTAATAATTGCGATTTCATAACATAAAAAATCATTTTTAATATGAGGTGAGGTGAAATTGGGTTTAACGTCGCGTCCAAGATTATTGCACTTATATAGCGACGTGCATGCACTTGTATGTGTGTGTGTGGCTGCTTGTACTTGTCCGGACTGATGCCGATTTATAGTGCTAGCTCACTGAGATACCATGCCGCAGTTTAACATGAATACCCCACTCAGACACAGTATACTGACTCCGAGCCGACCAGTCCTTGTTTTAGCCCCTTAATGCCGAGCGCCAGACAGGGTAACAACAAGTACAATCTTTTAACGTCTTTTTGTATGACGCGGCCCAGGATCGAACCCTGCACCTTCCGCTCTACCACAAGACCACGGAGGCGGTCATTTTTTTTTACATTTTTTTTTTAATATGAAGATAGCATGTCAATGGTTAATATTTACTTCATTATAAAGAACTGTTTTAACGTCTCTTTTTTTTTATTGGCACTTTCAGGTCTCAAGTATCGAAAGCAAATACTGTTTCTTCTACTGGCACTAAGTTGCGGAGTATACACAACACTAAGTCTTTCGGTTCAACCAGACAAACGGGAGCCTTATGAAAAGCTAAAAATAAACACCTCTCATTGGATGTCTGTCCTCAACAGGCTAGACAACATCACTCACGTCCGTCCAAACAAACAACCATCTCCAAAGGCTTTCCGAACCTACCAGAAATGGAATTTAGTGGATCATCCTAACAAGACAGATTTCTACCTACCTTTCTTAAACAAAAGCAATGATCTTATCACTGAGATGCAACGTGTGCAGGTCAACATATTCCAAACTCTTCTAAGAAATTATAAATATGCATTTCTGTTTGACATTAACGCCTTTGAGAACAAAGGAGACCCTGCCATAACCGTCGGCGAAGTTTATCTCCTGAGACGGCTGGGCATTCATCTCGTATACTACTGTAACACGTGTGTGTGTGAGGAAAGTGGGGTCCTGGATAAAGCCCTCTCGTTAAGCAGAAACTACAGTAGAGAGAACACAGTTGTGTTGCTGCACGGAGGAGGCAATCTCATTGGCTATTTACAAAACGACGTTCTTCGGGACCAGATTCTAAGCCGTTTTTATGAGCATTTTAACATTTTGATGTTCCCACAAAGTATATGGCTAAAAGGAGGTCACCTACCCGCGCACAGAATGGTGTATGTGAAAGAAATTTACCAAAAGTATCCAAATATTACATTCCTTTTAAGAGACAGGAAGTCCTTTGCTATAGGACGAGAACTATTTCCGAGGCAAACGCTGTTCTTAGTGCCAGACATCGTGTTTCAAATAGGATCTATCCCTAGGTTTATGTCTCCAATATACGACATACTGTGGCTCCGACGGGCTGATGATGAAACACCCAACTACACCATCCCGTCCTTAATGGGGCCTTACACTGTACACGTGGCAGACTGGACATCATTCATATCACCTAAAGGCGAGACGTCCATGGAGAATGCCTTTCTTCACACCAGTACTGGCGCCATGTTTCTTCAGAGAGGGCGAGTGGTCATTACTGACCGTCTGCACGGACATATCCTCTCCACTCTGTGCGGAATCCCCCACGTCATGCTGGACAATCCTGCGCGAAAGCTGACGTCATTTCACGAGACCTGGACGAAAGGCTTGACCACAGCGTTGATGGCCACATCCAGTGAACAGGCATTGAAGCTAGCTGTTGATATTCTGGAAAAACGAAACCATTCTCTGCCCGGACTCATAGCTTATAACGACGTGAGAGAACATTTACCTTGAAGAACTACTAGAAAGGAAGAAACATAGTATTTCACTATCGGTCCGAGAAGAACAGACTAGTCAAAACAGAAATGCAGCACATTATTCGAGCAGAGGCCATATATCGGTAATCATATGTACATGAAACATACTAAACACATACGTTAGACATCCTTCAGACATTAATCAGACGTAAACTAGACATATACGTAAGACATCCTTCAGACAACTATTAGACATAAGCTATACATCTACATTATACAGCCTTCAGACAATTATCAGACATCAGCTATACACATACGTTATACAGCCTTCACACAATTATCAGACATAAGCTATACATATACGTTAGGCATCCTTCAGACAATTATTAAACAAAAGCTATACACATACGTTAGGCATCCTTCAGACAATTGTTAAACAAAAACTGTACATCTACATTATACATCCTCCAGGCGATTATCAGACAAAAGCTACACATCTACATTAAACATCCTCCAGACAATTGTTAAACAAAAGCTACACATCTACATTATACATCCTCCAGGCGGTTATCAGACAAAAGCTACACATCTACATTAAACATCCTCCAGACAATTGTTTAACAAAAGCTGTACATCTACATTATACATACTCCAGACAATTATCAGACATAAGCTATACACATGCGTTAGACATCCTTCAGGCGATTATCAGATAAAAGCTATACACATACGTTAGACATCCTTCAGACAATTTTTAGGCGTAAACTAGACACGTACGTATACATCCTTCAGACAATTATTAGACATAAGCTTTTCATATGCATTATACATCCTCCAGACGATTATTAGGGGTAAACTTGACACATACATTGGACATCCTTCAGACAATAATTAGACGTAAGCTATACACATACGTTAGACATCCTTCAGAAAAAAGTGTGTGTGTGTGTGTGTGTGTGTGCGTGCGTGCGTGCGTGCGTGCAACATCACGATTGTAAAGTGTTCTGTAGGACTTGTGCTAGCCTCTGATACTGGCATCGTATACACCTGGTGTAACAATGATTCGTTATTCATGACAGTTATTAATCCAGACAATTTGAGTTGAGGACGCCATCGCCCATATAATAGGTTTTTACTGTATATGAAATAATAGTTATTATCACATCGGCTACCACAACATCTAGGATCGTCTTTGAAACCTTTCCAATATAAACTATCCTTTAACACATTATCACCATGCCTTACCTAGATTTTCCTTCTCAAAACATTTGATAAATACACCAGGGCATGTGTGTTTCTTGGGTGTTAGCTGTCCTTGAAAATATATCATATAAGAGCTGGCTTGTAGGTTGTATAAGAACCAATTGTGTATGTCAATATATCTCTGAGATATGTATTATTTCATTATGATGCATTTTGTGAAACAGGGTCAATTTACGTTTTCTTCCAAAAATATTCTAGAGGCTCCTATCACGATTGTAAAGTGTTCTGTGGGACTTGTGCTTGCTTCATATACTGTTATAGTTATAGATTCATGATGAGTAAATTAATATGGTTTCATCTCGCATCAACAATTGTTTCAGTTGTCTGCAGCAAAACATGAATAATAGATTAATATCATTTTACCTATTTTCGGCATTTCTAAAGTTACTCCCATAGTTGCCTTTAATTTGTTGTAATCATCCCAAGATTACTCTTACGTTACAGACTGTAACTTGCTTCTAATGAATGGATGGTTTAATAATTGTAATATATCGTTAATGTTCAACACCATTTACAGCAAAACATGTGGCAATGAAGATGGAGGCCAAATGTAAGAAACAAAATTCGCTTGAATTGGTTACCACAAAGCTGCGTAGTTCAAAGAAAACTGCTACAGCTGTCTTCAAAAACACAAGATGAGGTACAAATTATGATATTATCAGAGTTGGTCTAAATAGATCTTCAATAATTTATATTCATGTAGGTATACATCTAGATGACACGTGAGCAGTTCAGATATTAAAAGTTCGTTACAAACATTTACACTGCCAATTGTGTATGTCAATATTTCTCTGAAATATGTGTTATTTGATTATGATGCATTTTGTGAAACAGGGGCAATTTACGTTTTCTTCCAAAAATATTCTAGAGGCTCCCATCACGATTGTAAAGTGTTCTGTGGGACTTGTGATTGCTTCTGATACTGGCATCGTATACACCTGGTCTGAAATAACCTTGGTCTTTTTATAGACGTCTTGCACTTTTGGAGATCTTCTGCAATATTATGTTAAATGGATTGTAAAGGCGTCCAGTATATGCGGGGTTTAATGTACACAGGAGTATTACGTCATTGTTCTGTCACTTAACTATGATTGAATGTACGAGATTACCTGTATGCCTTGTAAATCAAGCTATATGTAACATAACACCACAATTAAACTATTCAACAAGAACCTTGCACTATCGTTAAGTCAGTCCTCCCTTCGCCAAAATTATTTGATTTGCAGATTTTGCTTTTCGACAGTTAGCTCCCCAAGTAATCCGACATGGTTATATTATAATGAGAATCCATGGGGGAGAACTATTATGGGTCGGGTGGTCAATTTCCGCAGACTCGGCCTGGATCGTTGCTTGTGTTTTCAGGTACTGGCTTTTTGGGTCCAGACTCAATTTACATACCTGATATCACTTCGTACTTTCCGATAAGCTGAGTTCAAATGGGGTTAAAGATATTATTGTATTCATCTGTCTAAGTGTGTACACGTATGTGTGTTGCTGCTTGTAGTAGCCCAGAGGTATGCCAGTTTGACAGTGCTCGCCCACTGTGATACCATGCGTGGTTAAATATGAGTGAGTGAGTTGGGTTTAACGCCGCTTTTAACATTATTCCAGTTATATCACGGCGTGTCAGCTTAATGTGGGAGGAAAGCCCGAAGTGATGCAGGCCTCAGACGTTTACCACTTCGGTGAAACCCTCGAGCATGGGTATTGTGCTGACAAACCTAGAAACATAATCGGGGCGAACCGGGATTCGAACCCACAATCATAGGTTTCTGGCGTGTCCAAGGGACACAACTCTGCACAGCGAATCGCGGCGCCTTAGACGACTGGGCCACCCGTGCCCCCGGTTTAATATGAATGCCATTCAGACACATTATACTGAGTTAGAAATATGGCCAATATATAAAGACATTGCACTTTACGGGTAGATGCTCTGTCCACTAGACCACGGAGGATGTGTTTAAAATAAAAGTCAACCTCATGTTACTGTTTAATTGTGATGTCTCTTTATGGAAATGGTTTGTGTTTGTTCTCTTCAAACGTAATGTAAAAACATGTTAATGAAGCTAAGGATCCATAGACTTTACTTTGTTACAACAAAATACCAAAGACATAATCACACATACTGACAAGATACCCCAATTATCATCTGTTTAATGTTCAATCTATCTCAGTACTATGCTCATTCCTTCTGAGGTCTAGATGGGGGCACGAGTGGCATAAGACATAGACATAAGCTATTCATATACATTATACATCCTCCAGACGATTATTAGGCCTAAACTAGACACATGCGTTATACATCCTCCAGTGTGTGTGTGTGTGTGTGTGTGTGTGTGTGTGTGTGTGTGTGTGTGTGTGTGTGTGTGTGTGTGTGTGTGTGTGTGTGCTTGTACTAGTTCGGTCTAATGCCGATTTTATAGTGCTAGTCAACAGATATATCATGCCACAGCTTAACATGAACCCCACCCAGACACATTATCCTGACTCCGAGCCGACCAGTCCTTGTTTTAGCCCCTTAATGCCGAGCGCCAGGCAGGGTAACAGCAAGTACCATCTTTTAACGTCTTTTAGTACGACGCGGTCGGGGATCGAACCCCGGATCTTCCGCTCTCCGCGGACGCACTACCACTAGACCACGGAGACTATCTAGAAATAGGACGTTCGGCATTGTCTTTGGGTATAAACTCATTGGTGACACATTATTGAACAAATGACTTTGCATGTGTTTGTGACGATGGCCTTGGTTGGGGCAGGATATGCTCACCTTTTGTCGACCACCGGGTTTGTTTGTTTCCTTGTTGTTTAACGCCGCACTCAGCTATATTCCAGCTATATGACGGCGGTCTGTCAAATAATCGAGTCTGGACCAGACAATCCAGTGATTGACATCATGAGCATCGATCTACGCAATTGGGATCGATGACATGTATCAACCAAGTCAGCGAGCCTGACCACCCGATCCCGTTAGTCGCCTTTTACGACAAGCATAGTTGCCTTTTATAGCAAGTATGGGTTGCTGAAGAACTATTCTACCCCGGAATCTTTACGGGTCTCGATCACCTGGTATCATCACTATTTGATAGTGATTCATAACACTTTGCTCATGATAGAGTCGGAATCGTACAACCTAATTGGAATCGTACAACATCACGATTGTAAAGTGTTCTGGGGGACTTGTGCTAGCCTCTGATACTGGCATCATATTCACCTGGTGTAACAATGATTCGTTATTCATGACAGTTATTAATCCAGACAATTTGAGTTGAGGACGCCATCGCCCATATAACAGGTTTTTACTGTATATGAAATAATAGTTATTATCACATCGGCTGCCACAACATCTAGGATCGTCTTTGAAACCTTTCCAATATAAACTATCCTTTAACACATTATCACCATGCCTTACCTAGATTTTCCTTCTCAAAACATTTGATAAATACACCAGGGCATGTGTGTTTCTTGGGTGTTGGCTGTCCTTGAAAATATATCATATAAGAGCTGGCTTGTAGGTTGTATAAGAACCAATTGTGTATGTCAATATATCTCTGAGATATGTATTATTTGATTATGATGCATTTTGTGAAACAGGGTCAATTTACGTTTTCTTCCAAAAATATTCTAGAGGCTCCTATCACAATTGTAAAGTGTTCTGTGGGACTTGTGCTTGCTTCATATACTGTTATAGTTATAGATTCATGATGAGTAAATTAATATGGTTTCATCTCGCATCATCAATTGTTTCAGTTGTCTGCAGCAAAACATGAATAATAGATTAATATAAGTTTACCTATTTTCGGCATTTCTAAAGTTACTCCCATAGTTGCCTTTAATTTG